CCTTCGTGTGTCTCCTGAACTAAGAGAGAGGGAAATTTATGGTCTGAGAGGCTGAGAAGGACTGAAAACTGAGGCAGGGAAAAAAGGAGGCAGAGAGGTATTGTTGATAGATATATTTCTAAAACTTAACCAAAACCAGAGATTCTCAGTGTGTATTTAAGCTTCATTGCTATCTGTCTAAACAAGGCTTTAAAAAATATCTCTGAGGCAGAGTGTCAGGCCTCAAAATGCATTTGGTCTTTTTGGAGAGAAAGTGATTTTTCTGGATACCATTCCATCTTATTGTTTGCATTGAATTGATAGACCCACTCTGGTTTCCCATTCCAGTGTGTTTTTAGCAGATTAATCTTCATGGAAGATGAAATCAATTGAGATGATATAATATCAGACTGTTTTAAATGAGGATATATTTTTTATCGATCTGGGAATCACTTGGACTCCTCAAAAGGAAGAACAAAAACAGGGCATATGTTCCTAATGTGAAATAAGATTGGTATGGACCACATGGAGGGGCAATAGCATTTTGTCGGAGCATATAATGTGGTTGTAAATGTTCCAGGTTCAGTCATCAACTTCAGTTAAAAGAAGCAGTGAGAGGTGATAAGAAAGACCTCTGTCTGCGTTTCTGGAAAGTGGCTACCAGTCATAGCAGAGAAAGTTGGACTAGATGGACAAATAGCCTGAATGGCTACAAGGCAGCTCTATCATCATATAATAGAATCTAGTGTCATTTCACCAAGTTTTAATGCAAGGGTAGGCAACATACAACTTTTGAGTTTTTGCTGAATTACAGGTCATTGGTCGCATGTTGCCCATCTCTAACGGGGAGTTATTTTCATTCATTGTCTCTTGATTGAACTCTCAACAGCTTGACCTGCATAAACATCTACCATTACAGAGACTGGAGGGGGAAGCCAGGGTGAAATGATGGCATTCCACACAGAGATATGGTGGTGCATCAGCGCTGCTCTCCCCTGATTCCACACTTCATTGTGGCAAGGCAGAAATGGCAAGAGGTCATGTTTCAATCCACAACACCAGCGATCCACAGAGTTTGGGAGAAGGATGATATCCCATTGGTGGAAACCCCTGGTTCTTACCTCAGTCAATGGAGCACTGGTCTTGCATGGAACCAAGAGATAATGCAACAGGGAATAAACATAGCATGAAGTGGATGGGTGCTGATTAGTTTGCCCTCCATAAGGAAGACTGTGGGGTTGCCATTGTTTTAAGATTGGTTATGATAAGAACACTAGCTGGTTGATTGTAAGCTGTTTCACAAGATTTGAGGGGCAAAAGTGGTGGTGGTACAAAAGTGCCCTGAATTCATAAAGGCATTAGCCAGGACTCATACTGCTCTGTAGCTGTATAATGTAAGGTAAAAGTAAGTTTTATCTGATATTTTTACTATAGGTAATCTTCAGTATCTGATAAGTCAGTGGTAATTGAAAAGATGTGTGTTCATCATGGTTTTCTTTGATGAACGTTTGAATGCTTCAGACTATAGTTTAAAAAATAAATCTAACGTTACATATTGGTCCATCAAAAATTATTGCATTGGAGATGCTTTCATATATTTTAGTTCCTCCTGGATTCTGCCACAATAAAAATCACTGTTTGGGGCTAGTAGAATAATCAGTTTTTTGCAACATGCTTCTATATCCACAACAACATTCTCTAGGCTAGTGTTTAACTGACGTGTCAAACTACAATTTCCATTATTCCCCAGTCAGCATGGGAATTATAAGCCCATGTATCTAAAGAGTGGTTGGGAAAAGGCTGATCTATAGGGCCAGACTACCTGAAATGTTGTAGTAGATCCTCCCTCTCAGTGAGCAACCTTTGTAAGGTTAAGCGACAGTAATGGTAATGCAGTGTTGTTGTTTTTAGTCCATACAATTGTGTCTGATTCTCTGAGATTGCCTGGACAAGTCCCTGCAGTATTCTCGGCAAGGTTTTTCAGGAATGGTTTGCCCTTGCCTCCTTTGTAGGGCTGAGAGAAAGTGACTGGCCCAAGGTCACCCAGCTGGCTTTGTGACTAGGCGGGACTAGAACTCGCGGTCTCTGGGTTTCTAGCCTGGTGCCTTGTAATGCAGTAAATGCACTAAAATGATTGTAAATAGTAACTTAGGAGTTATTGCTTTTAGATGATTGACTATTTAATTGATAGATGCCCTTGTTCTGACTCTGAGTGATTAGCAGGTAGTTTGGCACACGGCTTGAGGCAGTAACCTTAATTGTGACTGATTAATCTGGCTGAAATATGTTGCTAAGTCAATTCAGTGTTTCATTAAACTGACTGAATTGCATCCAGCTATTAGAGGTGTTTGAAGGAAAGGCAACTGACAGATGATATAGGAGCACAAACCCCTGCATTAAGCTATAAAAGAGCCATTAAGGAAACCTGTGCCAATATTGAATTGTTCCAGAGAAATTTAACTTCCAAGCTAATGCTAATTAAGAGCTATGTGCTTAATGGATGTCAAGAGTTAATTAGAAAACCTGATGACCTGTGCTCAAGTTTTAAATATTTTCTGTGTCGCTCCCACTTTTTGTATTGTTTCGGTTTAAAAAAGAAATTCTATGGTGCTTTGATTTGTGAATGCTATCAGTTACATGGCCTTATGCCATCTTGCCTCTTCTCAGTCAGAATTTTCCTAACCTTTATTTGCAGCACTTGTGTTATAAAAGCGATACTGATTAGAAGACCAAAGTTAACAGTTTGAAATATTGCCAGATATACTTCAGACTGTTACCATTTCAAAGGGTCAAATCCTGGGTGCAGAATAAAGTAGCAGAGGAGGGTACACAGAATCGGTTGCTGTGGACTTGCGCCGCCTCCTCTCCCCACTGAGGGAAGAGCTCTGCACTTCTTGTCCTATTTTCAGCGTTGCTTTCTTTGTGCTAATACAGGCATTTTTGTCTCCGGATCACTCTCAGTATATTCCTAGTTTAGCTGCAGCTTTCTCAGCAGCTGAGAAATTCAAATCCCTTATCTATAAAACAACTTATGTCTAAAACAGTTTTACTATGAAGTAAAAAAGCGGAGCCATAAATAACCTGAACTCAACTCATAATGAAGGGGGGGGGGGGGGGGGGGGTGTCACAAAGGCCCAGATGGCAGCTCTGACTGTGCAATCAGAACCCCACCCTTTTTTATATGGGTTGCATGTACAACACATGTAAAAAAAGGGATGGGGCTTTAATTGCACAGTTGTGACTGCCATTTTTATTTCTTGATATCTCCCACTCCCGCGATGGATGCCTCTACCCCTAGTGACTTACATAGATATATCCATGCAATTTTCTTGCTGTGATTTGGAAATGAATTTCCATTACCTTTTTCCAGGCTGTTTTTTTTCTACTTCCCAGTTGTATTCAATTTTAGCCACTTCCAGAAGGAAGAAACCTTTGCACCTTGCACCCCTGTGCTGTTTTCCAACTCTTCTGTAGAAGTTGCAAGGGACAAGAGAGCAAGAAGAACTCTAACTGTGGAAATGAATGTAGCCCTATATTTTAAATAATAATAACTATGCCTTTTGATATTTCCGTTCAAGATTTCTCTTTGAATTGCACGTTTTCTTTTTAAGAAAGTTGCTTTTTTGTGGAAAGTTTGCCAGAAATTCATTCTGAGAAGTGTAGAATAGAAAGAAATGGAAACAGGACATTCTGGCTTTATGAAAGGCAGAAGTTCTTATAGTGTTAATCTAAATGTATATTTATAGCCTTTTCAGTTCCTTCACAGTCACACTTAAAAACTGTAATTCTTCTGTCTAAACTGGCCTTTGAAGAGGAAGCTTAGTTGAACAACAGTGTCGTCACTTCTGCTTTCCTCTAATGATTCCTTACCCCCACTCCATTCCTTCCTATATATTCTTATATTATAGGAAGGAATGGAGTGGAGTGGGGGTAAGGAATCATTAGAGGAAATAAATCCACTTTTGGATTCATTGTGGCATGTCAGACTATATTTTTTAAAATAAACATCTTTGGCAAAGTTGGCAGAGTATGAGACACTTTATGGATTGGCAAATTCAGATTTCATTTTCACCATTTCTCAGGAAGCGAGTGAACAACTTTAAGGGCTTTGGGAAATATTTATACTACAGTCTCCCCCAGTTTGATGGGTCTCCAGATATGTGGGATTGCAGTTCATAATTCCCAGGCATAGTAGGGAATTCTATTAGACTAATAGAAAAGAAAAAATGGTTGTGAGTTGGGGGACATGAAGTAGTAGGATCCCAGAAAATTACTTGCAACTGACTGCATATAAAACTGTAAGTGTATTAGATCAAGAAATAAAGGTTACCTTATCATAGAGAGGTCATTTAATTTATTTACCTTAGACCAGAGAATAAGCGAAGAAGTTTTAGGATTATACGTATATGGTTCCTCATCCCTTTTCTGCAATCCCAAGAACCATTACTGCTTAAAGTACATGAAAGTGATAATAAAGACTTAACATGTTTTTTAAAAACTATAAACTTTCTTGTATAAATTTACTTAAAAGCTTCACTCTATATCCAGGTACACAGCATAAGAGATTGTTGGAATATTGCTGGAAAAACCTGGGTTCAGATCCTCACTCCCCTAGGAAGCTTACGTGGTGTGTTATGCTAACCTACTTTATGGGCTTGTGAGGATAAATTTGGATAATCTTATGTACGCCGTCATGAATTTCTTGTACAAAAAATAGGCTATAAATGTGGGAGAATTATGTAGCCTTTGCGCATTAAGACAGTTTTGTATGTGCCCCATGTGCCCACAGAGAGCAACAAACAAAAGCCTACACAGCTAACTGTTACAAAAGACAAAGATGGGCCTTGTGTTGAATATATTGATAGAAGCACAAATGATAATGGACAGTTTCTTCACACCAAGAAGCACCAAGCCATATATAAACAACAGACGCCATTCACAAGAATAATGATTGTAAAAGGTCATAAAGTTCATTTTCTCTCTCTCTTCTCTCTCTTTCTCCCTCTTGCTTATTTTAATAGTGCTGGGCCTAAAGGTGATAACATTTATGAATGGAGATCTACTATCCTTGGTCCCCCAGGTTCTGTATACGAAGGTGGCGTATTTTTTCTGGATATCACATTTTCATCTGATTATCCGTTTAAACCACCAAAGGTAAGGGTATAAAGTTTCTTGTTAAATATTTTCAATTGCCTTCCATTCTCAATCAGGAAAAGCTACAACTGCAAGAAGCATTTCCAACATGGTGGATAGCCCAGGATCACTAGCAAACTGGGGCAAGGGATCCACAATAACTTACCTTCAGGGTACTGCAGCACTCACTGGAGGCATTCCAAGCTGGGCACTTTCTGAGAATATTAGGGCATGAGAAATTGCCACTCCAGACCCCATTTTTCTGCTGCTACCTATTAGACAGAAGGAGTGGAATTTGGAGGGCATAATTTCCATTACTTCTGCATCCATGAGGAAAAATAATTTAAGAGGTCATAAAATATCTTGTTTAACTCCTCTACTTTGATCAAATGAGCATTGCTTAAAGAAACCAGATGTGGTAGTAGCAGCAACCTAGTCCTGGTAGTAACAGTACCAGGTAATATTCTGTGACTCTGTTTTGAAGATGCAAGTCATTTTTCTTCACATATGGCTCAAGCCTTACATCAGATTTTTTTCCTCTCAAGGGATACAGTATTTTGGACCATTTGTGAGCAGGCATGTGCTGTAGTAGAAATGGGGCTAAAGCAAGTGAGGCCACTGAGAAAAGTGGAAGAAACAACCATTTCATCTTTCTGATGCCATCCTTTTTTATTCTGATACTCCATTTTCTCTCATTCTTTTTCCGACCCTTGTTTCCCTGAGCTAGCATGATGCCAGAGAGACAGGACAGTTCTTGCCAGCACTCTATCCTGCTTATTTGCCCAAGTCTTTTGAAAGCGGGTTATGGTAGCCCTCACAAGATAAAGCTGCCCACCTTGCTTTAAATCAGATTTATTTCAATCAACAATGGAGGTGTGTAATCTTACAGGCTAAAATGAAAAACAGAAGTTTGTAAGCCCTGGTTTGCTTGATAGTGTATAATTTGATAAATACTCTCTAAAAGTTATAAAGCTTTATCTAATAACGTGACATTCAGATACAGTGCTTCTTTAATTATCAAACATTTCAGCTTGTGGTCTGCTTCTGTGATAAGTGCTCTTTTCCTAGTTGTTTCAAAATCTACTGAAACATAAATAAAGCATATCCTTACTTGACAGCTGTTTATAATTCACCATTTAAATCTTGTACGTATGCTCTAGTACAAAACATGGATTTTTACACACTTTGAACATACTGAAAGATTCTCTTCATTATATTAAGAATGTACATGGTTATAATGTTCAGCCAAGTCATATACTGAAGTACATCTCTGACAATGACATTATGCATTCCTGGAGGCAGTGGATCTGAATTTTCAGCCCTTTTTCCCATTGGCCAGGGGGTGGGGGTGGAGGTATGATGACTCTTTAAAAAAAAAAAACATCAAGAAAGGATATATCAAAGTGCAAAGTATTTGTCCATACATTTATCAGTGGCTTGATGCAAAATAGATGCAATTAAACGTGTTGGAGGTTTGACACATCTATTTTAACTTTGTGTTTTCAGTTTTTAAGAAGTATGGAAAATCATACAGCATTATGCAGTAGTTTGCCATTAAATTTTAGAAGCATGATCTTGCAGGCAGAGAGGGATTCCAGAACAGGCTGTGGGTTGCCTGTCCCAGCCCTAAATTATTAATATGTCATTAAATTTTTTGAACTACTTGACAGTAGTGTAATGTGCACTTTGAGTAGAAAGCTCAGGGTCAGCTTTCGTATCATGGGGCAATCATATAGCTACTGAAAAGTAACAATTGAGCAAAGTAAAGAAAATAGGAACATTCCTAGAGTCAAAAAGGAGTTAGGGTAAGAAGTAAACTAAGTTCCACTGTCTCTTGGTGGGGTAGTAAATGTAAACTGAAAAGAGCTCAGTTACCCAAGTACAGCACCAATAGCCAAGTACAGCAGCTACTTACACATTGCCCCAAAAAGAGAAAATTGGAGGCACAGATTTGTATAGAATCTTAATATAATCCAGGATTTAAGTATGATACATTTTTAGATTGTGAGAAAGACCACGCACAGCTAGGGACCTATGTCCCTGCCCCCCCCCCCCCGCCCCAGTTTGGATCTTTAAACTGGCACAGGCTTTCCCTCTGTCTGAGACTTTCATGCTCGGCATAAGAAATGCACCAGCACAGTGGAGCTGTAGGTGAAAAGAGGACTGAAAGCCAATAATGCATTGCAAATTTAACCAAAAGAGATATTAAGTACAAAACAAGTTGCAGTTTTGACCACGTGTCATTGGCATTTTGGCTGACGTTGAACTCAAGCGCCCTGAATGATAGCATCAGCGCAAATGAACTAAAATGCCTCAAAATTGCCAGATGAGGTGGAATGTGGCATTTAGTGAAAGTGCAAGTAGAATCAGCATTGAAGTCAATTGTACATTTTTTACAAAGCGTGTGTGCCCCTGCTTCCTGAAAGTTATTTTTAAAAAAGGTATGTCAAATCTATGGTAGCTCTTAACATGGTCTGAAGCATAAGCTAAAATTTCCTGTGCTTGCTGATATAATAGAGATATTTATGCCAATATAAATGTTTGTTTAAAAATTGCAGCTGTGCAGCAGATGTTCAGTGAAGAAGATTCAAATTCTGCTATTGAATAAGTAGCCCAAATGTTAGGTTTACTAAGCCAGTTAATCTGTTGAATACCTGCAAAAGAAATCAAGAAGCTAAGTCCCCCCCACCTTCTCTCTCTGTCTCTTCATTTGTCTAACAAGTACTATATTCTGGCTAGGATCCAAAGAATTATTTTAGTCATGCCCAAAAGATTAAGATTTATTTCCGTTTTCTTTTTAAAAAGTGAAAAAGAAGGTGGGGGGAAGCCACACAAATTCCCATCTTATATCTCAATCTGCATTTTCAGGTTTCCTATCAATTTCAGAAGAAGCTTGTCATACAGCATAACTGCAAAAGGCTCAAATGCAAAGCCAACTTGGCAGTGCTTTTCCCCTCTTTTCCTGCTTGTAGGTTTCTTGAAATGTCTGGAAACAGGGGACAGGACTAGACATGCCCTTGACCTGATTCCTTGCAGAGAGAGGAATCCCCAAGAGTGCCACAAGGCTCAGTGGGTCCTCTGCTGTTCAGGGGTTCATTCATGACATGAATGGAATCTGAAGATGCATTAGATTTGCACATGACACAAAACTGGGTGCACTATGGATTCCATCCAAAGCCACAGTGTTTAATGGTAAAAAGTATTAAGGTAGAATTGCTCCCCTGTCCCCTCCCCACCTCCTTTTCTTGCACGTTTTAGTGCTTAATTTCTGGATTATATTAATTCAGATCCTGGTTTAGTAACCCTGGTTATTGAGCGACATTACACCAGAGTTTCCTGGTTCAGATTCAGCAGAGGGCTTCTAGCTTAATAGGAGCGAGAAGCTAGGCTCCATGCTAGGCTAAGCTATATGAAGTGAGAGGAGGAACAAAAGAAGCTAAGGAGAACGGGTCTATTCCAAGGTTCATTCTGCTATAGCTCAGAACTATATTTCTTGAAACTGCTACATTATATGGCTCAAAACAAAAGTGTAACAAATTTCAGCCATATATGTATATTCTATAGAAACACAAGCTCCTAGTTAACAGAGCAGGCTATTAACACATCTAGGCCTTATTGTCTCCTGTCACTTATCAGGGAGAGCTTTCTTTCCCCCACCAAGATAAGTTAAATGGAAGTGTCAGAGATTAAACTTGAGACCATCTTGATGCAAAGTATGTGCTCTACACTGACCAGACAGACCTTGTGCCTGTGATGACATTTTGAGTCAGATTTAGTTTCCTATGGAAGCTGATGCCATTGAAGACTGTTTATGCAATATTCAGAATTTACTAACATGCCCTTTGAGCATATTCATACTGTGGTGGAAAACTCACCTAAATAAACAGTTGGAGAGGATCTAGTGATGGTCTTATTTTTCAAAGCTGTCAGGTTACAGGTAGATGAACCAAGAGCAAGAGCCCCAAGGTTAGTTGAGGGGGAGTCATAACATCTACAGTATATCCTGATGGCTCCCATGTTCTGTTTGAGCTTTATTCCCCAACCCGGTGCTCTCCAGATTTCTCAAACTAGCATCATCTAGTTTGGCCACCGTAATTAGTGAAAACGCTAGCGCCTCACTCTGAATTTCACACACACCAAACTTAAATGAAAGCTGGGTATCTAAGTGGCATTTTACACATGCACACGCAAATAGTTCATAGGCATCTTTAGCTATGACAACAGAATTATGCCATGTGTGGTGACGTCATGACACAAACTCTGCCCTTTTGTGCTTGCATTCCAACTTGGTACGAAAGGACGCATGTCTTGGGGCTTGCAATGTCACTTGTCTGCCCTATGGAAACTGATGAAACTGCTGTTTCTCAAGGGCATGCAAATGTTTGTGTATGTGTAGTCTGTTTTTTTTCTAAGGATTTAAAAATGCTGCAGACTTGCCAGAAAAAAGCCACAATAAAGCTTTTAACTTTGAGACATATATAGCAGTCGTGAAAAAGGCAGCTGCTTGCAAGGGAGGAGGGAGGACTTCTTCTCGGATGAGGCATACAGAATCACAAACATTTTTTAAAAAATGAAAGGTCTCAACAGAAAAGTTCTCCCACTGAGGGAGACATTCAAGACAGGTTTCAAAAGGTCTCCCACTGAGGGAGACATTCAAGACAGGTAACAAACTATGCCTGAAGAGCGTGTAATGATTTTCTCTCCCGCCCCTTCTGTTGCTCTTCTACCTGTAGGTTACTTTCCGTACTAGAATCTATCACTGCAACATCAACAGTCAGGGAGTAATCTGTCTGGATATTCTGAAAGACAACTGGAGCCCTGCTTTGACTATTTCAAAGGTTTTGCTGTCTATTTGCTCCCTCTTGACAGACTGCAACCCTGGTAAGACAATCCTTCTCTTTCTTTTTTTCTGCTTAATAAAAAAAAATTATTAATTGTGCAGCAGGCAGAGCCAGATGAGGCAGTTCCCTCATTTTGGTCAACAAAAAGTGTTTATTTTTACCATGTCTGAAAACAGGACATAAACTGGCCATTGTATGATCTCTAAACCTGTGAGATAAATCCATGCTGAAAAGGGGGCTTGTTTTGCTTGTACATAGAACAGCTTGTGAATAAAAGGTTCACTTTCTTCCAGTTATCTTTCAACCTATAAATGCCCACACTTTGCCATAGAGAAGCTATGATACATTTAACATCAGCTTCCCCAGCCTGATTTTCTCCAGATGTTTTAGGACCATAATTCAGTTTTTTCTAGAGGTTGCAAGTCTTCCAGTGTCTTCCAATGAGTGGGAGCCCCAGCTCAAGGAAGACTGTTTTTGATTGATCCAAATGGCAGAATAGACCCTTCGTTCCATTGCAGGTGACTGGAGCACGCATGTTTAAATATAAAAGGCAAACTGGCCAAGGTAGGTTTCCATGTACAAGGAGAGCTCCCTGACCTTCAGTAGTGCATTCTCTCTTGGATTGTACCATATATGTTGTCTCTGCATTTTTCAGTCGGTTCCAGTGTGCCAATCTCTTATCAGAAACAAAAGACTGCAATAGATGATTGGCCTGCATCTGTAGCTCAGCTCATACAGGCTACTACCACTCTGTTTTTCATTTATTTATTTATTGTATTAATTTGTATAGCTGCCCATCTCCCAAATGCAATTCTGGGCAGCACACATAGGGTTAGAACCGCATGAAACAACACAATCAAAATAAGAAAAGCAATGGCAGCCAAAGACAAACTTGCAGTGATGGGCTTGGCTAACCTCCAAACCCCATGCCCAAGGGAACATTCAAGTCTTCAAGAACTTCCAAAATGCCAGCAGGGTTGGGGCTCCACAAATCTCCAGGGGTATGGTATTAAGGTTTAATAGATGGGACTCAGAGCACATCCACTCTACTGGATCTAGTGGGATGGACAGAAAAAACTAGAGAGAGGTGGTCCTGCAAATTTCACGTGTATGATTTTATAGGTGACAGTCAGCATCTTGAGTAGCACCCAGATGTACACTGGGAGCCAGTGCAGCTCACAGAGCAGTGGTGTAAATGGGCAATGATTTAACAGTTATGGTATACCCATAACTGCTCCCACTCCTGCACTCTAGACCAGTTGTAGCTTCTAACTGACCTTCAAGGATAGCCCCACGTAGAGTGCATTGCAATAGTTCACCCGGGAAATTACCAAGGCTAAATGGCTATGATCCATGAAAGGGTACAAATGCTACACATTTGTGCAAAAGCTACACATTTGTGCAAAAGCCCTCCTGGCCACAGTTATCATCTCTTTGAATAGGAGTTGCTGGTCCAGGAGGACCCCCTGATTGTTCACCAGTACTGTCTAGAGTAGTGCTACCCCATCAAGAACTAAAGATGGAAGATTACTGGATCCAGGACCCCAAAGCCACTCAGTGCTGCTAGGGTTGAGCTGAAACCTATTCTTCCCCATCCAGGTCCTCACAATCTCCAGGCACTGAGAGAAACCCCAACAGCATCATTTGGTTGGCCCACGTTGTGAGGTATACCAGTGATACCTCACACCATGCCAGGGAATGACCTCACCTGGCAGCTTCATATAGATGCTAAATAGGAGTGGGGAGAGTACAGAGCCCTGAGGAACCCCACAAAGAAGGGGGCTAGATCTCTTCCCCCACTACACCATCCGCTGGAACCAGCCCTGGAGGAAGAAGGGGAACCATCATAACCCTACTTCCCACTGCCTCCCTTGCCACCACTGCTCATCGTGACACATCTCCTACAGGAGTGGCGAAAGATGGAAGACTGGGAAAGACCCGTTATGCAGATTCTGAATCCTGTGTTTGAATGAGATGCTGCCACTCGCTCATACAGTATATCTAAGGCTGCAGTAGATAAGATAATCGGGCCCAAAACTATATAACACCTTAAAATGTAAAACATTTAACAAATGTTTGCTATTATACAAATTAGTTTAGTGCAGCCACTATAACTATCAGAATATGAAAAAGCACTTAGCCAATTTTGTCAGGAAC